TAATTTCCGCTTTCTTTTCCATTATCTCTATTTAACCCCCATGATCCCTGTAGTCGCATTTTCTTTTCCGTTGTCCCAATATAACCCCAATATATTACAGTAGCTCATGTGATTCAGCTTTAGCAGGTCCAGGGCCCGCAGATGAGGTCGTGGGCGGGTGCTCCAGCTGCATGTTTTGGGGGGGAGAGATTTGGGGCGTGGAATTTCGGATTAGGGTTTGGGAGTCAGAGTTGAGGGCTTAGGGTCTGGGATTTGAGTTTGGGGTTGAGGGATGTTGATGGTTAAGACATGTTAAGGCTTCATAAGACAAAAAGGGTTGAGGGTCCTGTGAGTGTAGTATTTTTCCCTAGCCGCCCTCCATGCCCAACACAATGATGATGCCCCATAATTCTGTGTGGCTGTGGGGCCACAAGGTGGGGTTAGCAAATTTCAGGCATGCCGTAATCTCGTGGAAGACAGCTTTGAACAAGCCCTATACACCCGGCGTTTTGCTCCAAGGCAGGGAGCTGCTGATTTGCATCGCGCCAGCGCTTGCCATCCAGAGGAATCTTGTCTGGTTTGCGGGAGCGTTTGAGGATTTGGCTGATGCAGTGGTGAGGGGATGTTTTAGGTTCCCCGCCTTTGTCCGGGGGGCCGTATCGGAACCCCAGTTCCTTGGGATGGGTAGGAGGTACTGGGACTACTGCAGTAGTACACTGGGGTAAGGGAGCCCCAAGTCATGACCAAGTAACATCTTATAGTCACTTATACTTCGTACCGTAGATAACACTGGTGTCCCGCAATATAGCTGCCTAGTAGTACATGACCACATGCAAAGCTTGGAGGGCCCCGGAGCAGGGTGTGGGGCAACATTCATAGGGCTATCATGCCCCGCCCCCCCAACATGCAAAGCCGCAAACTAATCAGGCCTAATACGCCTTAACACGGTGTAATGGTCTGCGAGACATACGGTGACCGCAGAAAGCCTGGGCATAAGACTCGCGAAGACTTGGAGGCCTAGGGTTGAAGGCTGGTGGTTGCTCCCAAACCCTTCTTTCATTTAAGGTGTGTGGTCAAATGCATGTAAACCCCAAGCCCTCAACATTGAAATTGTACTACCTGCCCATGGCATAGGGCTGAAGTCTGAGGTGAGGGTTCCCTTCCATAAAGGCTGATTCAAGGTATGTGGGGGATGTATTTGGAGAGAGATATATGTATATAGGGCTCTCCAGGGTTTCTAGGGTTTGGAACCAACAAGTACCAATTTTGATTCATGAACGTAAGGGAATCTGACTCTGCAGGTCCAAGTTGCCACAAGTACTTGGCTTCTTCTACCAGCAACTGGTAGGATGGAGCTAGGGAGAGCATGAATTCCATAGGGTGTGCGTGTTTGTTCGCGGGAAGCAATAGTAGGAGACCTTAGAGGACCTTCAAGAGATTAGGGCCTTAGTCCTCAGAGGGTCCGTACTTAGGGTTCCGCTTGCGAGGGGCCTTTTTGAGGATTGATCAATATTGCCTGCGCGGGATGTAGACCCTCTTGCCAAGTACAGGCAGCGCTGACGCAGATTCGAGCCTATGCTGCCGCTTGACGCGTGCATCATTACTCTGAGGGTCAGGGAGGGCTTTGCATAAGTAAAGATTAGATCTACATATATATATATATGTATACATATGGGAAAGTATATATGTAAGCCTTAAACCATCGAGTTATTTCCTGGTCGGCCCCAACATTAACGTACTTACCAGGTCCCTGTGTGCCTCCAAGTAGTTTTTTGAGGGGTTCTTGGAACATTCGCTTGCAAGTTCCGGCCATACCGACCGCAAGTAGTAGCTCCCTTAACCCAAAGGGTCAATGTAGCTACATATATAAGCTATAGCTTAGTAGTTCAAGGGGGATATAGAGGGGATCATCTATAGGGGGCTCAATCTGCACTAGGTGCCCCACCGGACTGCCCAGGACGTTTCTTTCTCAGTTTCTGTTCAGGTGCTGTTTGACCTGTAAGAAGAGCTGCACGGCATTTCAGTTCAGGCACGTTTCATGCGGCGCTACAACAAGCAAGGCCGGCTGCTGTGTACTTGCTGCGCATGGTCCCGCTTGAATGGTCTCGTTGTGCTCTTCGCTCTGGTTTGCCTGTTCGTCTGTGAAGGTCTTCACGTGTCAGAGGCTGGGTTTGCTGGGCAACATACATTCTCAATATCTTGCCGAGTTTCGTGCAAACCAAATCGTGCATGTTGCATGGAGGAGAATAAGAAAAAGGGCGCCGGGAGCTCGAGCTTGGTTATTTGTTTTGCCGGAAGCTGGGAGCGTGAATTTGTGCTCTTTAGTGTCTTGCAGAGGTGCCGGGCAGCGAGCTGCGCGGACTTGTCAGCTGCTTAAGACTGACTGGTTTAGCAGCAGAATGCTGGAACTGCATCTGTTCGTGAAGGTTGGCTTGAACGGCAAGCCCAACACGCAGCGCGTGTATAGCTTGGTGTTTTAAGTTTAAGCGCATGTATTTGAGCGTTGTCTGAGATAGCCATGTTGTCTTCTTGCCGATTCTAAGAAGAACAACCGCGTCTTCGTGCTGAGTCCTCGGGTGCATGACCTAGTATTTTTTGCGATGCGTGTGTGAGTACTGAGCCAACTCCTGACATGTGATCTTAAGCACTTCTAATAAAAGGCAGGTAAATTTGGGTCGAATCTAGAATTGATACTGTGGCCCTGTCGTTGGATTAGCTGTCAATCTCCCTGTGGCGTGATGACATTTCTCCTGCAAAGGCGCGGAACAAGCTGATGCACGCCAAGTACGGCAACACACCGTGTGAGGCTCAGGTTCTGGTAGGCATCATGTTTTTGTATCTTACTGGACAACGTCAAGCGATGCATTTTGTATTCGCTTGTCGTTGCTGGCAACGTTAGTATCTTCAGGCTGGTTCATTGCAGTGCGACTTGCACATGCATCTACTGCACTGAGAAGCGAAACTGTGTCTTCATTTTTTATGTCTTGTGTCGTTTAGTTTAGACATTTGCGCACGCTGTCGCTTTATCTTCAGCTCATTTCTTCCAGATGCGACCTGACAAGGTCGACCGGTGCTGCAGACTGCCTGTTGCGGTCTCAGTTCCGTTTTCAAGAAGCTGAACTTCTGCCGCATAGTAAAAATTCCCGAGCGCTTTGTCGGGTGGGATTTTGTATTGAGTGCATTGACTTGACTATGCAGGTTAATGCGTGATCCACTGATTGTGGAGGCAGAGCGGCCGGAGGAGCTGTTTTTTGTTGTTGCCATCTTTATTGCGGTTGTTGTTACGCTTGTTGCTGCTGTGTTTCTGCGCAGCGGCAGCGGCGGGATACTGCTTTCTGCCTGAGGACAACCCACCGACGGTGCCCGAGCCGGTGGAGGAGCTGTGGTGGTGTGGGTGTGCATTTCCGTGTTTCTGCGTTTGTGTTGGTGGAGCTGTCAAGTGTTCCCGTTGAGTGCGGTGCTGCACCGGAGGAGGATCTTGGTGATGTCGAAGCACCTCCCCAGACCACGTACACGTGGGCGGCCTAGTACTTTGACAACCTTCAGCCTGGTGATGGCCCTGATGACTTCGGGTCGAATCGTGAGACTGAGATGTATAGGCCTTCTTCTTTGAGTGTTGCTCTGGTTTGCTTAAACGTGTTGTCGATTGAGCAGTGGTCCTGATCAGGAGCTGTGAGCAGGACCTGGCCATGCTCGCTAAACTCCAAGCGCTCCAGGCATGATGGCTTCCTCAGTGTTTTTTGGAATTTGTGAGCCCAAGCTGGTAGAGGTGGAGTCGGAAGCTGATGCCGGCGACTGCTCAGGGTTGCGTTGCTGCTCTTGGTCGCTGCTTGAGTTGTTCGTGATCGTGTCCGGCGTGCAGGAGTAATCTTTGAAGATGCTGGGTGTTCTCATCATGGCTATGCTCGCTGACTCGTTTTTCTTGCGCTTGATTTGCTTGCTGCAAGATCCTGAGGTGGACCGCGTTTGGCTGGGGGTTATTATATTAAAGGGGATACTAGGAGTTTAGGCTATGGCTCATGTAGTTATACAGAATATGGTAATGGTAATAGGTGGTCCACTGCAGAGCGCGCGCTGGAGCACTTGACTGCAGCCGTGCTACAGCATATACTTGGGCCCTAAAGTAAGTAGTTATATGGGAACTTCTTTGGGCCCTGAGTATATACACGATGTAGGTACATGGACCCTTTGGGTTAGGAGATTGCTTCGAATCGCAAACAGATCTCGGGCATGTGAGCTACAGCGAATGGAATGCTTAGCAAAGGAATATTGAGAGAGTGGGCATAGGGGTCCCTTAGTCCCTAACATGTTCCCTACTCAGAACCCATGTCGATTAGTTGTATAGAAAGATTGACCCTAGCTCATTTGCTGCTGTGAGTTCTGGATTTTCAGCGTGGCTTAAGGTGTGTACCGGTAGATAAATCGGCTCTTTGAAGGCCCTTGGGCCTCCTTGCGCTGAGCAGTAAGCTCCCAATGTGCTGGCAAAATGGTCCAAAGACAAATTCGAATTCAGCAGCACTGGGTTGAGAACGCCACGCCCCGCATGCGAACACTCTTCAGCAATAGCGCAACAGCAGCAACGCTTTTGCTTTGACGAACAGCTGCGCTTGCACACGTCTTTTTTTCATGTCTACGAGAAGTGCTCATAGAAACTCATTACGTATGAGGCCTGCCTGGCCGTGCTCCGCCAGACGCAGGAAAACGCCCCCGACGACGAGGCCAGTGGAGATGCAACCTTTTGGACGGCTTCAGGTTTGAAGTCCAAGGTCTGTGTGGCTGCTGGCACCCCAGAAGTATGTAGAACGACGACCTTTTCGATTAGTTACTCGTTTTACGGATTCATTCTACCTACATTTGAGGGCCAGGTAAGGTTCAGAGGTATAGTTTTGGCATCAGGGCCTGCGTGGGCTGATCAGAGCTTGGCAAGCTAGAATCTTCAAGAAGCGTGAATAGTCTGAAAGGCTTGTTGGAGGAGCTGGCCAAACAAGTGGAATATTCAGTTCACTCTCTTGGCAGCTATGAAGGATTCAGATGGCCATGTCCAGCAGTACGCCTTGCCCCCATCCCCTATACCTGTCTCGATTAAGACGCTTGCAAGCGCCGCTAAGTCGTGGCCATTACCTTAAGCCTTCTGTGTCGTTCCTGTGTGGGGGTGTTTCAGACTCCCTTACCCCAAGGGTGAGAACAACGCCCCAAGCGAAATACGTATCAGCCTTGAGCAAGCAATGTGCGCCGGAAAGGCAAATTAAACTTAATGTAGAAGCTTGACTCAACACTTATATCATCCCCTTACAAATTCGCAATCCTTGTCCAATTTACCTGCAACCCCAATTCCTTACAGTTGTGTAATCCTTGCGCTTCACTTGAAAGGTAAGTATAACCCATCAAGCTGTAGGAAAGTGGGGTGGGCTTGCAGACAGGGCCCAAGGCCCCCTGAACCCTAGACCTACATCCGAAAAGAAGAAGAAAGCCAAAGGTAGCAGATTATAACCCTAAACCCTAAACC